CTTTACAAGCTATACGAAGGATAAGAAAAGGATAAAATAAGGATAAAATGATAGCATTAATAAAAAGATGAATTCAGTTTCGAACATCTTTTTATTATCTAATGTCGATTATCACTCATCTTGATATATTATATTTTACATTCATACTGTTTTATTTTATATTCATACTTGTTTTAAATCAGATCTGTTATTTTATGAACTTATTAGATATTTTGGGTAAAAAATGTCATCTTTAATGTCATTAGAAGGAAATTGCACACAGAAAATTGTGAATAAACCTAAAATTTTATAATTTAATATATTTTTTATAAAATTTTTAAAATTAATTTCATTAATTTTGCTAATCGAGTTAATAAGAATAATAATTGAAACGTTTTGAAAAATCTCCATTTTTTTTATTCTAATAATATTTATACGTAATTTAAATGCATGTGCATTATCCTTTTGCAAAAAGTTTTATCGTTTTCATTATCGTATTACAGAGTCGGATCCTAAATGTATTATAAGAAAGGTTATAGAGAGGAGAGCAAAGAGAGAGAAAAAGAGCGAGAGATAAAAGCAGGATATAACCAATAATAATTTTAATAATCTGTGGATTGCTATGGAGAGCATATAATAGCACAATTTACTGCTGCATGGTACCAGAGATGCAATTCCACAATGCAAATGTAGTTGCGGTGTTCCTTTCTGTGCGTTCGACATAAATATAATTTCCTTTAATTACCGATATGCACGAAGTTAGCCATAAATATATGCGCACATTTGTCTATATTTGGCATATCGCATTGTGTCGCATTGTGCAATGTATGTTTCGTTAGGCATAAGATAATTGACCTAATCGCTGCGCTTCTTCCTGTCTATATATCCGTCGACAAGTCCGTAAAATTGAATGATCATACGAAATAATTGATAAGATAAAAAAATATCACACGTTCATCGTTATTTGGATTTAAAATTTATTAATACTCGATCATATTACATATTTCGTCATCGCACTACATTAGTTATGCAGTAGACAATTAACGGATAATTAGTGAATGCTTAATAGATGTTTGTACTATACTCCATATTTAATAAACCTGAAATGACATAACATATGATCTTAATACATTTTTATATTATTTAATTAAACATGATAAAATGATATGATTTTATGATCTAGCTTAATGATAATGATAAATTATGTTTTACATATTTCTATCAATTTTTTTATTTAAATTGAGAAGAATTTTATAGTAATCAAAGGTTTGTGTAAAAATACATTATGTAAGAAGATAAAAAGTGGTTAGGTTAAAGTCATTTTTACTGTCAAATTCACAACAAAATTACAAACAGTTACTTAAGTTAATTAGTTTTAAATGGAGTGAAAGAAATTAAATACATATTTTATGATACAATGTCTATAAGTATATCTTGTCATATTATTTAAATAACAATAAAAGAAAATATGAAACGTGAAGTATTCTTTAATTGATGCAATTCATTCAATCAAGAAAGACAACACATGTTATGAATATTGTAACAAATTAATGTTATCTATGCCTTCTTGTTTTTATCTATGTATTTAATATAATTAAAAGCAAAATTATTGTTTAATAAGAAATCTTTCGGATCATTTGTCCTTATGATATTGAGAGGAATGAAATTAATAATAGTGGACAAAGTAAGTCTTCTATTTGATATCGATTATTAACTTAAATGGAAACATTTAATTAAGCGAAAAGTCCGGAAAGTTGTCTCTAACGCAATATTTTAATCTTGATTTATCTCGTTGCTTTCTTCTTAAATATTTCGACTTAAATATCTCCCTATTTAAAATGAGAGTCAATTTGATAACTTTTGGTCTAATACAAGATAAAATTGATCGTAACTAATCACGGCTGTTACATGTATTTTAAAATTGATAATCTTGATTCAACTGTGGATTCTTTCGATAATCTAATCAAACTTTGTTATCAATATCTAATTAACGAATATATTTAATCGACTTTTCTACAAGTATCTATTATTCTCTTATCTAATTTTAAATTAGATTTTAATTTTAAATTTTTATTTTAAATTAGATTTTATTTTAAGTACAATTTACTTTAAAAAATTTTAATTTTAATTTTAATCTAAAACTTAATAATGAAGATAGCGAGAATTTAGCTAATAAAAATCAAGAAACCATGAGGAAAGGTATCTACGTGAGATTTCTGCCAATGAGAGAAATTTGGTTTAAAATTTACTAGGGAATTTATAGCGGAAATATAAAATGTCCGAAGTGTCTTTCCCGTAGCTAAAGTCGACATTACGTTTCTCCGTTGTAACGCTACCAAAATTCTCGTACGCGTTCCTTTGAATCGGGGTGGGGGCCCTCTGGGAGCGGAATGCATGAACCTTTATCAGATCGCGGAAGACGATGGAAGACGAGGGTGGGAAGAAGCGAAGGAGCTTTTGTAACTAGCTTTGCCCGTTCCGAAGAGCTGGCAGCAGCGACGGCGCAATTGAGCGAAATTGCGCACGTAGGACGCGAGAGACGGGAAACTTTACAATGCAAATCCAGCTGCCACGACCTGGACTGTTCTCCGTGTCGCTCGTGGCGGTAGTTGCTGATGACGGTGGTGGAATCGTTGCTGTAGCAAAAAACCTGGGCGGTACCTGGGCGGTACGGGTCGCGTCTGTCATATTACAGACCCCCTTCCCCCTCTCTCTTTCATCTGGATTCCTCTTAGGGACTTTTTGACAGCGTCAGATGTTGCTTCGCTGCTTTTTTTGCACCGGATTATTGCGAAAACTTTTGCGAAGAAGCCAGCTCTCCTTCTCTTTCTCTTCTCGTCTTCTACCCTGTATCATCAGCCTAAACATGTGCAGTCGCATTCAAAAAAAAAGTTAGAAAGACGCTGCTATTAAAAGCTAGTTTGCTGCGTGCGAGAACACACTTGAGTCTTTATTCGAATTTGGAACTCGCTCTGGCAGCTGAGAGACTATATTTATCATCTAACGAACCAATCTCGCAATGCGAAAACAACATATCTACCTTAAGTGACGTAAACCGCGGCTGAATCACTGCTTGGTTGCGAGGCCGGCGTATTTATCGAGAAGTTTATCTTTATCTCATATTTTTCAACATTTTCGCATATTGTGTCTATTTAACTAATGATTATTACACGTTTATACGCAAATTTACATTAGAAATACGAAAGAATAAAATTCAACAAATAATCCTTAGTTAATAATTTTATATTTGGTTGATTCTATTAAGCTGACGTATATACGAGTTGATTGCATGATGTGTATGATATTTAAGATAAGATATCAAACTATAATGTAAGCGCGACGTATAAAAACAGTTTTACGAAAAAGATCACTTGATATTTTGATAATGATAATTTTTATTATAGCGATTTATATAATTTTTACTTAATTATTTTTTTTATATTATTGAGCACAGTTAAATCAACGGACATATTGGACACGTTGCATAAAGTGTCTTGCGTGATGCTGCTCGGGTATATTCCGAAGAAAAGTGCAGGATCGTGATATGAATAATCACAGCGTTCTTCAAATACAGCCGTAGTCCGATCGCGTTTCTGATGTTAATGGGTAATATCCGAGCGTTTCCTTGAATGAATTCATATCCAGCGATCGAACGAATTTGCAATTATAATGAAACTCGTACATTTTGGCTCAGCCAGTGAATTATAGCATAAAATATAATACATTGATATAATAATCAGAATATATAATTATGCTATAATTCTTATACATATCTATCAGTGATGATGAAGTATAATAAAGATGTATAACATGATTATTTTTAAATATATTTGGCAATATGGAAAACATCTCGATTAAATGCTTTTCTATTACTCGCAAAAATTTCGTATTATGCGAAAAGAAATATTTTTTGCCATTGAAATTATTTTTTATTTATTAATGTCAAAATTACCAGATGAATAAAAAATGTATATATTATATACATATTATATACACTAAACTTTGTTAAGTGAATTTTTTCAAGTAAATTAACGGAATATCATGTATGTTTTTAAAATTGCTTAGATATTGCGTTATCGGAGTAGCGTAAAAAGTTGGAAAATAATTGCGGCACATTACGTACTACTTGTAGCAGTTGCGTAAGGAACTAATCTGCCAACCTTACTCAGTAAGGACGAATATATTAATGAGATAGAAAATAATAATATATATTATACTATAACTTGGCATATATGTATATGTCTTTAAAAAAATTTTTTCGCGAACAATTAATGTTCGAAAAAATTTACGCATTACCATCCGCGTTTTTTAGGCTCTTATTGCTCGTTCTTAATTATCATGTTGGATAATATATATTATTTATATACAATATTATTTTATAGATGACAATAGAATTTAATTATTCGGATGAATTATTATTGTGAGAGTTAGTAAATTGCCTCCAATATTTAAATTCGCTAACAGAGAAGTTGATTCTCAACATTGTCCAACATTTATTCATGAATCAAAAAGAGAAATGAATGAATATTCTTCTCGCTTATTTTATCATGAAAAGGCAAAAGATATTGTAAAGTCTAAATCCTACCACACTAAAGTTATTGCTGATACCACTATTGAAGTTTGCCGTGAGACTTATTCGATAAACCAATTGGAAGAGGATGATAGAAATAGTTTGAGGGAGGAATAAGTTTAATTTTCGTTATTATATATATAAAAGTATAAAAGATTACACGTTCTCTAGCGCGAAACGCTCGTCTAATATTGTAATGAAATACTGAAACTTTTTCACAAGTGTAAAATTACAAGTTTTATCTTCTGCTTTTTACGCGAAAACTTTTCGTCAAAAAGTTTTTAAACTCGGATGTTATTTCACAAGCTGTTACTAATTTGGATTAAATCGTTAAATCTTCGCCTTAATATGCAATATTGAATTTTTCTTTAAAGTTTTTACGGATAGATATATTACAAATTTTTTCTCAATATAAGAAATCATTTTTTTATCGATTAAAATGCTGCATTACCTGTAATGTGTCACATGTTCGACGGTATCGATCAGCACATCCGCGTCATCCACATTCTGAACGATGTGTGCCAAGTCCGTCAAGGTCGGTACGTGCTCCTTTCACGCCGTCTGATAATAATACTACTATTACGTAAGCATTATTTCGTACAGCGTTTTATTATTTTGTCACGTCGATGATAAATTTCAGGTGATTCGGCAACATTTATAAATACGCAGCTTCACGATTGCTTGTCTGTCTTGGTGAAATTACGAAGGGTTTCCACGTTCCGGATAAGTGAATCCGATCAGTTTCCCGATCGAGATAGAGGATAAGATGTCGAGGAAAATCTATGGTCGTCAGTCAATCACTATACGACGTTCACGATTTCATTCACAGCACTCGAGGAGCTCCATTCGTTCCGTTTCGCAGCACGGTTAAATCCGATTCCGAGTGAATTACAGACCATGCGACGTGGTCAGCCGCCAACGTAATACTGGGAAGTCCACACACTACAGCTGCTACATTTAAAAAGTAACAGTAGCCTATCATGTTAGCGCGCATCCATCGGAGACGTCATTCGCGACGATGCAATCGATTGACAGATTATCAATATATCGAATCAATATCGGAGTTAAGATAACTTAACTATAGAATAGATAACTTAACTTTCACGAATTGTGAACATCAATGGATACTTATCAGTCATGTGTTATTATTTTTGTAGATCGTGATATTAGATTTAGATATCTATAATGTGAAAGATTATTAATATAATATTTTTTAAATATAGTACTTTTTAAATATAAATTATCGATTCTTCTAAGATCTTGATCATTATATCATGAATCATTCATCTATAATAATCAATTTTAAAGAGATCAATTATTTATTTTTATTAAGAGATATCAGTAATCTCTCATTAATTTATTATTGACATATAAATTAATTATTCGCGCAACTGCAAAAGTAATATAAAAAGCAATCATGTAAAATTAATTACATAATTAATCTGTATTTCGAAGATGGGTATATTTTTGCAATTTATCGAATAGCGATAATCATACAGAAATTGTTCGACAAACAATTTTCTTTCGGTAATTAATCGTCCGCACGAGAACAGAATTAGCCACTATAAATATACCGTGAGATATTAAAATAGCTTCGATTGTTAATAGTAATTTCTCGCAACCATGTATAATTGCTTATTAATATTTTTCTGCTCCACTTGTTTATAAATTGAGATACGTAATTTTATTTCACGCTGCTACATCAGCAGATGTATTTTTAGGCAGACTGCGAAATATATTCGTATATATTTTATCCAGGGCTGGCTCAAAAAATTGCGGTACCTGTAGCCAATTTTGTTTGATCGATCAAGGTCATTTAAACATAAAATTTAACGTTCTTATCCTTAACGCAAAATTTAATCAAGATTGCTTGTGTGCATTGATTAAGAATATCTTGAAAATAATTTAAATAATTTATTTGATCTTCTGTTGTTGAGTTATGTTTATAATTACTTTTTTAATTTAAGAAACCCTTACACGTCCGTATCATTTGATTTGCGCTTCTAAGCCTGTAAGCGCCCTTGTCATAGTATCCAATTAGCCACTCCCCTAAGAAAAGCTTAATTCCCCTAAGAAAGGCTTAATTTTGTTCTGAAGAGAATTATTGTGCAGGCCTGTTTGGAGAGAGAAATCTCATAATTGATCGCGAATGGAATTTCACAGGAAGGAGTATTGTCATATTGTCTTTACTTAATAATGACTTTACCCATAGTCACGATGCATACGGCAAAAAGACGCGTTAATTTGCGGTTCGCAGCACGTGACTTTGAATGATAATTCGTTATCAGTAGTAGAGACTGCAAAAACATGATAAATCAATAAAGATTGAACGATTAAAAAGTACACAATTAGTTAACTTATGAACAAACAATGAATAAAGAGGGTGTATATCTGTTTGTACTGATATGTATCAGACTTTATTTATTTCTTGAAATGAGGTTGCTATCATCTTGTATTTGTTTGATCTGTCTTGTGTCTGTTTGATCTGTCTGTTTGTACTATCCATATGCACAAGATAATTACATAGTTCTTACTCTCGTTTAATCTTTATTGATATATTATCATCAGTCTCTTGCTAATCAGAAATTCGTGTCTCGAATCATATCACGTGCTACAAAATAATTCTGTTTATTAAGTAAGGTCATTAATATTATTCGTTCTTATCTGCTTTCCAGTATTTTTTAAAAATTATATATATACTTGTTTTAAATGCGAAAAATATAAGTGTTGAGAGATATAGAAAGAGACAGAGAGAAACAGATCGATGCGTATGTCGAATTATATCTTATTTATATCGTTGATGATTCAATTAATGCACACAATTAATGTTAATATATATTTTACATTTTATTTCAATTAATATTGACATATATTATTTACATTTTATTTTAATTAATATTAACATATTTTATTTTAATTAATATTAACTTATATTATTTTATATTTTATTGTATTATACATTTTTTTAGAAAAAAATATTAGGTTAAATTGTTTAGTTTGACTCATGTTCTGTTTGAAAATTTCTAGGATATAGTTCAATACTTAAAAACGCGAAATTATGGGTAGAGCTAGTGGAAAATATTCGAAAAATTTAGAACATTTATATCACAAGTAACACGCAAATGCGCCTCGGGGATGGTAGCTGCATTGTTCGCGAAACCTAAAACGCAAACTCTCATACCGCGCGCCTGAAGTGGAAAGTAACTCTTGTCTCGGCGTCCCACAACTGTATTTCGTATAATGATAGAGATTGATACGAGTTAGGAAGTGCTCAACAAGCGACTGATGTCTAGATTCGTCTAATTTCGTTGTCTCTCATCTTATTCTCCGCTTTTCCGCATTGCAATTTCAAGACTTTACGATTGACATGTCTCTGCAATTTTGATACTCCGACGCCGATTTTGAGTTTTCCGAAGCTCATTCAATGCAGAAAATCTGTTGTTACAATAATGTTACAAAATGCTCGGTACGGATAACCGGATTATTTAATTAACGGACGCATTTAGTAGCGCGCGAAATTTCGCGAGCGGAATAGCGGATGCGAACAGACTCTCAATCGCGTAATCCACTTTCGGCGAGAGTTATATTTCCATAATGTAATTGTAGAATTATGGAGATTGGATTTGGCAAGTTACGAATCACCCTTGCGTAACGAATATTAGCTCTGCGATAAAGTTTACATACTATTCGTTTCAGTATTAACGAAACATTTAGATGAAGATAGATACTCACAGATATAGAGAACTGATGGAAAGCTGAATGATCAATTCAGCAAATTAGAAAACGTTTCCTCAATCTATATATATTTGTTACGTTATACGTGTTGTACTATATAAATAATTAATAATTAAAATATATTTTATATTCAAGATATAATTTATATATTTACATTACATTTAAACATATGATTAATGGATAATACAAACAAATAATACAGACAAATTTACATGTTACTAGCTCCATATATCGGTAATATATCATTTGCTTCCTGTCAATGTAAAGAAACAAAAATTTTTTTTCGCAATGCAAGAGCAAATTTTCTATGAAGCTCTGTGCAAAAAGGCGAACGCGCCAAAATAGCAACTCACAGTTATGTAAGCGACATTGAGTTTATATTTCACCTGTCGTTACACTCTATGATTGCACCAATTCGAATTTTGCTCTATGTATTTTGCGCTCGTCACTTTCCATCTTGCAATTCTGTTTTTTTTGTGTTTGCCTAATATGGCCAATATTTTTGCGCACAGTGATTTGTAAATTTACAAGAGCAAATTTTTTTATATCAATGCCCGCCGTAAGTATAAATTCTTCATTATGTGCGCCAAACAATTACCGCACTGCAGCTGAGAATGATTTAAATACGCGCTCTATAAAAGTACGCGCTTAAAGACAAACTATTGCGCAGAAAGTAACGATGATATTGATAGTAACGGTAATAATAGTAGTGGTACAGTAATGGTGTTAGTAGTAGTAATAAAAGATGTCGTCTCTCGAGCACGTCTGAACTCTTGCCAAAACGCCAACGAGAGATTGCAAATGTTTATCTCGGCGCTAAGAGATTCCCTTGTGACGTCAATTTGTCACGTGTCTTATATTCGACTCATGATTAATTGCGTTCATAGATACACGCAATTTGCAGATTAGATAATCGAATGCTGCCTGCAGCAGGTACCATTACGTACAGGTGGTTAAATCCGATAAGGTTGAGTTACACGTGTGCACCGGCTGCATATTGCGCCGTAATGATAACGGGGATAAAAGACTTTTATCTCGTTGCGACTATTTTCCCTCTTGCATCGATTTGCACACACTTATTTAATATCTTAAAATTTCGTCGCGATAAATATATTTTTGTATTTTTCACTCGATGGACGATTGAATTCTTGAATTTTGCGATATACTACTAAATAGATCGTATTACTTTTGCAGCGAAAATCTCCGAATCAACATTATATATATGCTTATTATGGTATGAATATTTTGCAAAATTCTGGAAATGAAAATATTCATCTGAAAATATTCTTCCGCGATAAATATATTTTTATATTTTTCACTCGATGGATGATTGAATTCTTGAATTTTGCGATATACTACTAAATAGATCGTATTACTTTTGCAGCGAAAATCTCCGAATCAACATTATATATATGCTTATTATGGTATGAATATTTTGCAAAATTCTGGAAATGAAAATATTCATCTGAAAATATTCTTCCGCGATAAATATATTTTTATATTTTTCACTCGATGGATGATTGAATTCTTGAATTTTGCGATATACTACTAAATAGATCGTATTACTTTTGCAGTGAAAATCTCCAAATCAACGTTATATATATGCTTATTATGGTATGAATATTTTGCAAAATTCTGGAATGAAAATATTCATCTGGATGTTCATTCATTCGTTTTACTTTGCTGTGAACGAGTGTATGTTCTTATATGTAGTACAGCTATGACGTCAGCAATCGACCACGCGAAATAGGTCTCGACTCTCACCGAGACACAAATTCACGGATTGTGTACCAAAGTATACATTTTCTATCGCACTTAATGTATACGCTATTAATAGAAATTAAATTATTTGCGGAATTCTGTAGCACAGAGAAATGACGAACACCGTAGCGAATACTGTATGAATATTTATACATATTGTAATTATAGATGTGATTCATGTATTATGGATTGCTATCGGTATTCTATAGTTTCTGAAAGAGAGAGTAATTGATTTTTTCGATTATTGATAGCAAGGAATGTTGTCAAAGAGTTTATTAATTTTGATGTTAATTATTTTATTATTAATATAATTATTAAGGAAAATTTCTCTTTCATTCAAAGTCAGAAATAATACAATACATAAATGATATTTTTTCTTTCTTCTATAATATATTAATTTTTACTTCAAATACTTTTTTTAGGAAATTTACGGTACGTATATG